TGCCTTTGAACATATTTCATCCAGTTATTCACAAGGCGATAGTTTAAGTAACTTTTGCTATTGCATGCCATGGACTACCATGGACAGTTGTTGGGAGGTGCAATCCGCTGACCTCCATATGTCCTTGTATATTCTTGTTTGTGCCAAACTGCAAGGACTAACCATTTTCTGACCCTGGATCATTTATATAATTAGTCACAAAAGCAGTTAGGTAGGTAGGTCAAGGTGACCACAACATCCAGCAATTCACTCTCCAGGGGAAGGAGACTGGCTTGTTAACTGCTTGCTATAAAAGGTTCTGCCTTGCCGGGCGCGGTGGCTCAAGCCTGTAATCCCAGCACTTTGGGAGGCCGAGGCGGGTGGATCACAAGGTCAAGAGATCGAGACCATCCTGGTCAACATGGTGAAACCCCGTCTCTACTAAAACTACAAAAAATTAGCTTGGCATGGTGGCGCGTGCCTGTAATCCCAGCTACTCAGGAGGCTGAGGCAGGAGAATTGCCTGAACCCAGGAGGCGGAGGTTGCGGTGAGCCGAGATCGGGCCATTGCACTCCAGCCTGGGTAACAAGAGCGAAACTCCATCTCAAAAAAAAAAAAAAAAAAAAGGTTCTGCCTTTAGGTAAGGAGTCCTCAGTGACATCACAGCCCCAATGCATGCATAGCTGCCATCTGGGCCACTGTAGTGACCCGTAGGACTTGAGGGCAAGGAAACTCACTGTACCATACTCTTGGCCCTTTTGTTTGCTGTGCTATCTTTTTCTCATCCACTGGGTCTTGCCTACTTTCAGCACCTATAGAGTTGTGGCGAGCCAATTTGCAGTCCTGTTACTCCTTGCCATCTCCCATGAGGTTGGAGCTCTCCCCTGACACAGTATCCCATTTTCCACTGGCAATGAAGTCATCATTGAATTCAAGTCCACTAAGGTCATACTACAATCCCAGATTCCTATCATGGAGGGTCAGTTTCGCATGACTGCTTTCATATCAAGTATTGTATCAGCAGTGTCCTATCAGGAAAACACATCATTCTAGATCTGTGCTGTCCAACATGGTAGCCATTAATCACATGTAGCTGTTAACATTTAAGTATTAAAATTAAATGAAATTAAAAATTCAGTTCCTCAGTCACGCTAGCTGCACCTCAAGAGCTTAAGACCCACACAGGGCTAGGTGACACTATGTTGGTCAGCAGTTAGGACTTTTCTATCATCACAGAACATCTTATTAGACAGTGGTACACTAGATTATTTCAAGCAGGAAAACATTTAATGCAAGAAGTTATTTATAAAGATGTTGGGCAGATGGGAGTAGCCCAAGGAAGAAGGGGCTAAGAAAGGTTAGAAGAGAAAAAGGGAGACCAGGAAGGTGCTGCCCGCCTGGCTGATGCTGGCCCATGGTGGGGACTGGGCTCACAGAGGTGCCACTGCTGAGGAGAACCAAGGCTGAGAAGGAGCCCAGGAGCTGCACTTGCTGTTGCTGCTGCTGGAGGTGCCACCAAAAGGCAGGATAAGGGCTTTTTTCCTCCACACCTGTCAGTCTCCTGCCAACACCTTCCATGTGGCAAAGGAGTCTAAATAATGTAATTTGCAAGTTTCTATGCTTCCTGTAATACTGAGAAGGGCAAAGAAGGTAAAAATGTATCTTATAACAAATAGACAAATAACTGCAGAGTAAGTTTGTTTGTTTGTTTGAGATGGAGTTTTATTCTGTCGCCCAGGCTGGAGTGCAGTGATGTGATCTCCACCTCCCAGGCTCGAGCAATTCTCCTGCTTCAGCCTCCCAAATAGCTGGGATTATAGGCGCCTGCAACCACACCTGGCTGATTTTTGTGTTTTTAGTAGAGACAGGTTTCACCATGTTGACCAGGCTAGTCTCACTCTCCTGGCCTCAATTGATCCGCCTGCCTCAGCCTCCCAAAGTGCTGGCATTAAAGGCATGAGCCACCATGCCTGGCAGAGAATAAGGATTTTTATCAATAATAATATTATTGGCACTGCAGGTGCCAGGGCCTCCAACCTATAGCTTATAGCCATTCCCTCAACTCTAGCTGAGGGAACTCTAGCAACTGCCCCTGCCCTTCACGTTCTAGCCATGTTGACTTGCTTTCAATTCTTCTCTAGGATCTCATGACCTCACTCCTCCTCAGATCTTGCATAACCTGTTCCCTCTCTTCACATGGCTGACTATTCTCATCATTCAGGTAGGTAGCTGGTCAGATATTACCTCCTCAGAGACCTTCTGTGACTTGCCAACCTGCCTAAAATAGCCTCATCCCCCTGCTCCCGCTCTAGCCACTCCCCATCTTGCCATTGTGTTTATTTTATAGTCTTCCTTCCTTCCTTCCTTCCTTCCTTCCTTCCTTCCTTCCTTCCTTCCTTCCTTCCTTCCTTCCCTCATTCTCTCCCTCCCTCCCTCCCTCCCTCCCTTCCTTCCTTCCTTCCTTTCCTTCCTTCTTTTTTGGACAGAGTCTCACTCTGTCACCCAGGCTGGAGTGCAGTGGCATGGTTTCGGCTCACTGTAACCTCTGCCTCCCAGGTTCAAATGATTCTCCTGCCTCAGCCTCCCAAGTAGCTGGGATTACAGGCGTGTGCCACCATGCCCGGCTAATTTTTGTATTTTAGTAGAGACGGGGCTTCACTATGTTAGCCAAGCTGGTCTCAAACCCCTGAGCTCAGGTGATCTGCCTGCCTCGGCCTCCCAAAGTGCTGGGATTATAGGTGTGAGCCACCGTGCCCAGCTTGTAGTCCTTGTTTCTATTGAAAATTATCTTCTGCATTTATGTTCTATCTCCCTTCACTAGGGTATAAGCTCCAGGAAGGCAGGGCCCCTGCCTGTGTTGTTCAGTGCTGTGTTCTCAGCATTCAGAACTGTGCCTGACATGTAAGTAGCACACAGTAACTACATATTGTTTGAGTAGTTTCCATCCATTCTTCAGCTCTGAAATCTTTCCTGTCTCCCTAGCTGGGTGAGGGATTTCTGCTATGTGTTCCCAGAGACCCCACACTTCTCTCACTGTAACACTGAAAACAACTATAATTACTTATATCTGATCCCTTGCTAGACTATAAACTCAGTGGTGAAAACAGGGACCACATCTGTCTTTTCCCAGATGACTCCCCGGTGCCTATCACAGTGCCTAGGATATAGCGGGAAGTGGTAATTTACCTGACAGATTTGGTCCTCATACTGTTCCTTCAAAGAGTTTGAGAGAAGACTTAGTGATGGAGATACAGAAACTAAGCAAAAGGAAACAGCAAGGCAATTATTAGCAAAGGAGAAACTGAAATCTTAACAAGAATGGAAATATAATCACAGAGACCTACATGGCTTGACTATGAATAACATTGACATATTCATAACCAGGCCCAACAGAACTGCATTTGTTACATTTGATCATATTTGTTATTAAAGTGTTGAAATATTTCTATACTGGCTAGTAAATAGTAGCCACCCACAAGTTCCCTGGGTACCCTGTTGCCACTGTCCCAGCCATCCCACTACCCCCATCTCAGAACTCCCTGGAACTTCCCAGGATCCAGCTACTAAAAACACAGTACCTGGCATAGCCAGGGGTCCCAGAACCCTGTTCAAGAGGCCAGCGGTTGTTCAGATCAGTTGGTTCCTGTGCCAGTCAGCAGCCTCCATTCCCTCCTGGGCACTGCCTTTGGCTCCTCCAGAAGGCTGACCTGAGGCTTGCTTGCTACACCTACATGGCCCAGGGAGCCCTGCATGGGAACTGTCCTGAGACTGTTCTGGTGCCACCTGGCTGCCAGCAGCCAGCCAGCCTCACCTCCCACATAGCAGCTCCTATCTCTGAGTGCACCACCTGCCCCCAGTAGGCTGAAACCTCACCAGGACAGACAGCATCCCTGGAAGAGATGTTAGCATCTCAGAGGACAAATATTTTTAATGGCTTCCCTGGTCATAATGTGTAAATACTGAAAAACGATTAACCGGCCAGGCACAGTGGCTCAAGCCTGTAATCCCAGCACTTTGGGAGGCCGAGGCGGGTGGATCACGAGGTCAAGAGATCGAGACCATCCTGGTCAACATGGTGAAACCCCGTCTCTACTAAAAATACAAAATATTAGCTGGGCATGATGGTGCGTGCCTGTAATCCCAGCTACTCAGGAAGCTGAGGCAGGAGAATTGCCTGAACCCAGGAGGCGGAGGTTGCGGTGAGCCGAGATTGCGCCATTGCACTCCAGCCTGGGTAACAAGAGTGAAACTCCGTCCCCCATCCCAAAAAAAAAAAAAAAAAGAAAAACGATTAACCAAAAATTGAAATAATTATAGATACAATTATATTAGAGAATGGGGGAAGGAAGAGCTATTAGAGATGTCATCCATTGTTCAGTCAGTAGATAATGTCTGAACCTTGGTGTTTCAGGAATACCCTTAAAAGAAAAAAAAAGGACTAGGTCTGTAATAAAACTAATAAAATTTTTAAAAAATTTAAAAAGATAATGCCTGAAAACTTAAAAATCAATAAACTGCAGTATAGGTATTTTATTTGGCAAATGGAAGTAAATTCCAAAGAAATAGCTGAAAGTGGCCAGTTGTCTCTGAAGAGTAGCACTTGAGGTAGGGGGGCTTAGGGCAGGAATCTACTGTTTCTTATTATAAGCCTTGGAGACAACTTTGGCTATTTAATCATGTGCATATTACTTTATTTTATTTTATTTATTTTTTAAATGGAGACCATTGCAGGAATCCTGATGAGAGGTGATGGCCATGGCAATGACCATGAGGCAAAGATAAGCGAATCTGGCCAAGTGCAGTCTCTCACACCTGTAATCCCAGCACTTTTGGAGGCCCAGGCAGGTGGATCACCTGAGGTTGGGAATTTGAGACCAGCCTGACCAACACGGTGAAACCCCGTCTCTAGTAAAAATACAAAATTAGCTGGGCATGGTAGTACATGCCTATAATCCCAGCTACTCAGAAGGTTGAGGCAGGAGAATTGCTTGATCCCAGGAGGCAGAGTTTGCAGTGAGCCAAGATCGTGCCATTGCACTACTCCAGCCTGGGCAGCAAGAGCAAAACTCCATCTCAGAAAAAAAAAAAAAAAGATAAGTAAATCTAAGAATAGTTAGGACATGAGTTGGGATAACCTAGTGAGATTGCCTGGCGCAGAGAGTGAGGAGAAGAGGAGAGAGAATCACAAAAACTGGGGCCTGTGGCTGGGGCTAGGAGATGGCTGACTCTTGGTGAGCATTTGGATGCCACGGATTCCTCCAGGTGCCACTTATAACAAAAGTGACTAACTCTGCTTGGGGAGATTGGAACTAGTTCACAGAGGAAGGGGGTATTTGAGCTGGGTCTTGAAGAGAGTGTAGAAGTTTCCAGTTCCACAAAGGTTGAGTTCTAAGGTGAGAGGGAATCTTAAAGGAAGAATATTCTTGGGCAACACTGGCGAAGAATAATAGGAAGTACAAAGGCACAAAAGCATGGAGCATCGTATTGGGGACAAACAGTGAGCTAGTTGTCCCATGGAGTGAGAAAGTTTAGGAGCCATGTTGGGAGAAGACAATGGCAGAAATAAAGCAGAGACAGGAGTTTGTGACCAGAGCCCAGCAGCCTCCAATGTAGCCCAGGTGGGCCCCTCCCTCAAACTGGTGGCAGCGTAACAGATACAGATCTGAAAAGCAATTTGGAAATATACATCAGAAACCTTGAAAATGTTTCTATCCTCTGTCTCAGTGATCCTCCTCCTGGGGATTGTTCCTGAGAAAATATAGTTTTTAAAGCACACCGTGAGCAGCATATACTGGTTTGTTTTTGCATCATCATTGGAAATAGTGAAAAACCGGACAAAAACAAAATTTTCATCAGAAGAAAATACTTAAGCAAAAGATAGCAAATTCACTCAATGAATAATAAATATGCAGACTAGTATGCCTGTCAGAATTTAGGTGGGCTCACCCAGGGGGCCTGCTGGGTCCAGGGAGGGGAGGTGATCAAATGTGGGCAAGAGAGGAAAAAGCAGAGTGGATTCTAGGTCGGCCCCCACAAGGGTTAGGAAGGACAGCTGCTCTTTGTTGAGCATTCCCCTTTTGGTATCTCACTTAACTCTCACTGTGATCCCGTAAGGGTGGTACTACTACCATCCCATCTTATAGATGACGACCTCAGGCTCAAAGAGTTGGAGTGATATGCCCAGGACCATCTAGCTTTGAAATAGAGAAGCTGAGATTCCAGCCCAAGTCAACATGATGGCAGAGCAGTTGGTGCTCTTCCTCTGTCACATGATGCCAGTTGTCAATGATGATCATGTTATCTGTGGAGAATCCCTTTACATGACCACTGGCATCTTTCTTCAGTCTTGGGAGAACAATGCCAAGTCTGTGTAAACACCAGGGGCTGGCAATAAGTGGCAAAATAGAAACAGCTAGATGATACGAGGCTAAGCAATAAAAATGGAATATGTGGTTGTATCCATGATAAAAGCGGCCATAAAAAAAGTATGCTCATGGACAACAGCAGGAAGGAGCAAGGAGAAATGGAAACAGATAATGTGTGAATGGGTGCTCACTTTCCTCTTTCTCTTCCTGGGGTTTCCGTTCTTAACACTGTATTATTTGCACAATAAAAAACAATTCACATTGAAAGATAGAAAGACTGAGAAAATACAAGTCCCTCGGGTGGCCCATGGCTATGCCTTGAGTCCAGCTGCAGCTCTAGGCTTTCTAAAGCCATTCTGACTGCAGCACTGGTAAAGAAGAAGCTAGCTTCTTTTGGATGAAGGGGGAAGAAGAAAAATGTAGTGAGTGACCCATGCCAAGAGGTTTAAGTTCTTTGCCATCATGCTCCAGGGTTGTGTCATTGCCATATCTGATGAAGCTCTTACCCTAGCTGAGGAGGTATGGCTGTGACCTGGCACTTCCCAGCTCAAGAATTTGTGCATCTAATGGTATTGTGGATCCCTGTTCATTTGTTGTCACCTCTGCTGGCTGGGGCTTGGGTTTGGCTTTGCTGGAGGAAGGGCCAGTGTGGGATTCTCTCTGACTGAGGGACAGAGGCCAAGGTGACCTCAGCCAGTAAAGAGAACAGTGAAACAGCAGCATTTATGCCAGGGTTTCAGAGCTGGGGCGCAGTGATTTTTCTTTGGTTCATGCTCACTTGATCCTATTTTATCCTTTAGATCGCCATTCCTTTCCAGACTTCATACATTTGCCTGTGCTGGTCTCTCTGTCTGGAGTGCCCTGCCTCATTCTTCCTGACAGAGCTAAGCCCTGCCCATCCTTCAATACCACTTCGTTGATGAACCTTTTTCCAGTCTCCTTTTGGGGAATGAATCATTCCATTCTCTGGCTCCCAAAACATTTGATTTGTATCTTTCCTATGGCAATCACATTTTTTCTGAGTACATTATAGTTATTTATGCCCAGTCTGTTTCTCCTACTAAATGGTGAGCTTCTCAAGGTAGCCAAGAAACATGTCTTATCCAACTTTGAACTCCACACAATGTCTGCCATATGGTAGATGCTCAATCAATGTATGGAATGACATTAATATACAATAGTTGAATTCTTCCTCTTTCTGTGCATGGACTCTCTGGGAAAGCTGTTGAGATTGTAGGCAGATGACCAATTGGTTTTTATGTCCATTTGAAACAGGCAGGAAGAGGAAGAGAGTTAAAGCTATCTGTGGATCCATATTCCAGAGATTTCAGCCAGTGGTCCTTAGGGGGATGATAACTGGAATAATAACTAACACGTGCAGAGGCTCTTCCTTACACTTCCACACCCATTAACTTGGATGAGTCTCACAAGGACTCATGGAAGTAGGCTGGGTGGGCAGTATTTGGCCTGTTCCAGTGTTATAGCTGAGGAAACCAAGGCTCAGAAAAATGAAGTGAAATTTGCAAGATTACGTCAACTCAAAGTAGGGCTGGGACTCAAACCCAGATCTGTTGACTCAAATTCCGTGCTCTTGGAATTGCTGAGGTGACAAGGGCACAAGCAACCCTTCCCCTTGATAAAGGTTTGCAGAAGGAAGGAAGCCCATGATTAAACCCTGATGAAGTGTACTTGCACCAGGCCCCAGCTGTTACCCTCAGACATATTTACCTCTCATCCAGGGCAGAGACCATGCTTTCTCCATCATTTCTCTCTCCAAAGTTCAGGTCTTTGGGAAGCCTCACACTTTTGCTGGGTCTTGATTTTCAGGTCGAAAATGAGGAGGCTGAGCTAGAAGTTTAAATTGGGTCACATTCACACCTGTGCCCAGTACAGAGCCTGGCCCACAGTTTCCATCACCCTCTCCATGGATGACTCCCAGCTCCAACACTGGAGGCCTCTGGGACTCCAGCTGACATGATGGAGTGTGTACCCTGCACGTTGCAGCCTCTTCCCAGGCTGGCTGTGGAAACTTAGCCTCCTCCAGACAGCAGGACTGATCCGCTCATGCAGATCAAGTCCGGAGCCTCATTAGTCATGTCAGATGACATAGTTAACACTTGGGGCCGGCACAGCCAGTTCATCAAAAGCTCCTATGTGCCTGGCTCCATCACCACAGCTGAGGAACTACTGTATGTGGAGCAGGCAGTACATCAGAGGAGCAGCGCCAGAGTGCTTCCAAATTGGTTTTGATTAATTGCATAGACATGTCTTTAATTGGTGCCAGTGTAGCAGCCAGAGAACTTATGGGAAAGCAGGATGTTATGCTTTCATTCCCTGAAGTCCCATAAAGCAATGAAAGATGAGGAACAGAATCACTGCTCGTTGAAAATTTATCGACCATGCAGACCTAGAAAACACAAATAAGTATCTGAATTGAAACCTAACCTCATTTTCCCAACTCATTGGAAGCCGTGCATGTTCCCCTCTGCCCTGCCTGCCTGCCGAGATGTGCAGCTGAGAAAAAGGTGTGATTTCTAAGAAACAAGTGCTTTAGCACAGAGACAGCATCCTCAGTTCTCCCCAGGCCCTCCTGGAGTCGACGCCTGGAGGTATTTGGGAAGGTGTCTCCCCTCAGAAATGCCTCTCTCCAGCCCATCACCATCCTATGAACTGTTATCAGAGGCTAATTCACTTTGGGTGAAACATTCATTCACACATTCATTCTTTTCTACCTCTTGGAGATTTAAGACATATGTATTGACTATGTCCTAAATACAAAGCACTGTTGTACTGTCATAAGGAATATAGAATGAAGTTAAAAAAAAAAGACCCTTTTCCCAGGAAAATGATTATATAGGAGAAAAGAGAGGACAGGGCCATAGAAGAACTAATGCACAATGAGTGACATCACATAGAAGAGGAACCATTGGGATTTTACATCAAGAAGACTTGGGTTCAAATCTCGGTTCTGTTTCTTCTTACTGAGCCACCTCAGATAATCACTTTAATTCTCTAAGTTCTCCCTCTTTGAGAGGCTGGAGTGCAGTGGTGTAATCACGGCTCACTGCAGCCTCCAATTCCTGGGCTCAAGTGATACTCCCATCTCAGCCTCCTAAGTAGTTAGGGCTAGAGGTGTGCACTACCACACCCAGCTTTTTCTTATTTTTTCATAGAGATGGGGTCTTACTCTGTTGCCCAGGCTGGCCTTGAACTCCTGGAAGTGATCCTCCTGCCTCAGCCTCCCAAAGTGCTGGGATTACAGGCATGAGCCACTGAGTCTGGCCTGAGTTTTAATTACAGAATAAAGATACTTACTGAACATGTTGATTGTGAGACTTTCAAGAATGAGCAGAGTGGAAAGTACCCAGCACAGGGTCTGGCACTGGGCAATAAACTGTTGCCAATTCCAAATAAGCATCACTACTGAGGCTCGGATAGCGTGCTGTGTGATAGTTCAGTATTCCAGGAACAAACCATTACTGATCACAGATTCTGTGCCAGGGTCTAAACTGGACATTAGGGATTTCAATAGGAAGCTCAGTCCTGCCCTTGATGAGACTGAGGTCCACTAGGGAGTCACAATGATTTAATATGGTAAGAATGGCAAAGTGTCACAGGTATGCTCACAGAAATCTACTCAGAGGCAGTGAGGAGGAAAGGAGATAGTGGTCACTTCTACCCAAAAAATTAGGATGGATTCGCCTAAAGAGGTGATGCTTGAACCACATCCTGACACATAAGAAGATTTTCATTTACAGATAAAGAAGGAAGCATTTTCTATGCACAAGGCCACAGTTTCCTTCCTTTTGTTCCTAGAGCAAACAGAGGTTATCCTCATAGGTCTTGGAATCAACTGTTCTCTTTGTTATAGAAAGTTCTTCCCCTAAATTTTCCCGAAGCTGGCTCCTTCTTGACATTTATAAACTGATATTTTATTTTTTCATTTGTATATTGTATATCTCTCCTACTAGAATGACAGGTCTAGTTCTCACAGTGAGAACCTGAGATCCTGACTGTATTTTCCTCCACTCTGTTACAACATCTGGAACATTGCCTGGCACATAGTAGGCATTCAATATACGTTCGTTGCATAAATAAATAAATAAATAAATAACCAACAGGAGGCACAGGACGGTATACTGCAATCGAGGAACTATTCTAAGCACAGTGCCTGGCACACAGCGGACACTGAATTTTTTTTCATAAAGTTAAATAATGAGAAATGCCTGAAGCATAGGCCAGAGGAACTGAGGTGGGTGATAATAGAAGAGGTGGCCTCAGAGCTGCACCCGGGAAGAATGACAATGTGATAGGGATGTCGGGAAGGAGATCGGGAGGATTAAATCACAGAACTTTTAAGTCCCTTCCAATCTGGGGCTTCTAAGAATTTCTCCTGAACAAATCATCTCTTGTCACCCTGCCTGATCCCCTCACTTACACCCCTCCTTTCCACTCCACCCTGTCTGGAGGCTATAAGGACATCTGACACACCATTTCCTGCCAATGTAAATCACAGACCGATGTGTGATGCTCGTTTGCAGGTTTTACCATCCCCCAGGTGGAGATGGCCCCAAATCTCAGGGTGGAGGCCCCAAGCAAAGCCAGCCTTACCACAGAGTGGCAAATAAGGGGGAATTGTTTACCCACCAGCACCTTCCTGGCCCTGCTCCCAGATAATTTTATGTCCTCTGGTCCTGGATCTGCTCCTTAGTTGGATGCACCTCAGTTCACTTGCTGGAGCACTGATGTGTGACTGTTTAACTGCTGCTGCTTCCTGTCCCAGGGATCCTGGGCTTCAGGGAGTATGAGAAAGAGACAAGAAAGAGAGCTTTATATGAGGTAAGCCTTGACAGTAATCATAAAAGTCAAAGACTAACTTACACTTAGATAGTGCTTCACAGTTTACAAAGCCCAAGAGGACCCCTATTCATCCCTCAAGGCCCTGAACAAATGTTACCTCTTTTCACCAACCTTCGACTCTTCAGGCAGAGCTGATCCTTTCCTTGATAAAACCTCCATGATAGCCCTTATTGCCTTGTAATAAACGTATCTGTGTCCGTGTCTCATTTCCTCCACTAAACCATCAGAACCCTGGGGGCAGATCTCTTTCTCCCAGTAAAACACACTTCTTTCTTTCTTACAAAGTAATGTTCATTATACATATTTTGTAGCCACAAAAGTAATATTTATAGTTATAATAATAAAAATTTTATATATAAAAGCATAATGAAACAAATTTAAAATCACCTATAATTTCATCACCCAGCTAAAACTACTTTTAATGTTTTGGATATATCTTGAGGGTTTTTTTAGCATACAGAAAGTAAAAATGGGATGATATAACACATGTGGTTTTATAGTCTGATTTTATCACCTATCTTATCATGAACATCTTCAAATATCATTGACAGTTCCTCAAAAACATCATTTTAAATAGCTACATTATTTTCCTTAATGAATATGCTGTAATTTTCCTAACAATTTCTCCACTGTGGGACATTTGGGTTATTCCCTTTTTTTTTTTTTTTTTACTATTTTTTACAAATAAGTCTGCAATGAATAGCTGTTACATAAATCTTTGTCTGTATCTCTGACAGTTTTCCTAAGAATGATTCCTAGGAGTGGAATGTCTAGGCCAACTGGTTTAAACTCTTTATTTTATTTATTTTATTTTTTTTTTGAGAGGGAAGCTTGCTTCATCACCCAGGCTGGAGTGCAGTGGCGTGATCTTGGCTCACTGCAAACTCTGCCCTCTGGGTTCAAGCAATTCTCCTGCCTCAGCCTCCTGAGTAGCTGGGATTACAGGCACCCATCACCACGCCTGGCTAATTTTTGTATTTTTAGTGGAGACGGTGTTTCACCATGTTGGCCTGGCTGGTCTTGAACTCCTGACCTTGTGACTTGCCCACCTTGGCCTCCCAAAGGACTGAGATTACAGGCATGAGCCACTGTGTCTAGCCTTGTTTAAACTCTTTAAAGCTTCGTGATGCTCATTGTCAAATTGCTCTGAGAAAACAATACCAATTTATAATTTCACCAATGCAAGAACATGTCCATCTCACCTGACCAACATTATAATCCCATTTATATCTTTACCAAGTCAGTGTCCTTTTCACAGTGTCTCTTGAGTTAAGTAATTTTTCTTAAACACAGCAGAAATCATATGACCAAACTTAGTTATCCTCTTCCAGGATGTCAACCTGGGAGGGCATATTACTTAAAAAGTGCTTCCACTGTTTTAAATATTTCTTTAATTTTTATTTAAAAATTGGCTGCAAAGCAGACAACACATTCTTTTACATCTAAATTACAATACATCTTTGTCTTCAGGGAATGATTTTTGATTTTTGGCAATATTTCAAAAGTCACTTGAAATTCATGAGATGAGAAGCTGCAGCTGGGTTTGGGGTCAGAAATGGTGTAATGTTACAGTAGTGAGATTGAGGAGGTCTTTTTGCAACTTGTAAAGAGAGTCCCATAGGAGTTCTGGGCAGTAGTGGCATCATCAGAATAAGGGTTGCACCTTCTAGCATGACCATTCCAAAGCGGCTACACTCAGGTGGAGGTATGACTCTAGCACACAGTTATGGAACCTCCTCTTGTGACTTCATCGTTACTCTATGGATAGCCCCAGGGACAGGTGTCAACTTATTTCAGAGCTGAACTCCAGGTCAGGTGTGGTGGCTCATGCCTGTAGTCCCCACATTTTGGGAGGCCTAGGTGGGTGGATTGCTCGAGCCCAAGAGTTCGAGACCAGACTGGGCAACATAATGAAACCCTGACTCTACATAAAATGCAAAAATTAGCTGGGCATGGTGATACATGCCTGTAGTCCCAGCTATTCTGGAGGCTGAGGTGGGAGGATCACTTGAGCCCAAGAGGTTGAGGCTACAGTGAGCTGTGATTGAACCACCACACTGTAGCTCAGTGACAGGGGGAGAGCCTGTCTCAAAAAGAGTAAAAAAGAACTGATCTCCAGGCCAAGCAAGGTGGCTAACACCTGTAATTCTGGCACTTTGAGAGGCCAAGGTGGGAGGATAACTGGAGCCCAGGAGTTCGAGACCAGCCTGGACAACATAGTGAGAACTTGTCTCTACCAAAAAAAAAATTTTTTTTAATTAATTAGCCAGGCATGGTAGCATGCACCTGTTGTCCTAGCTACTCGGAAGGCTGAGGCAGTGGGATCATTTGAGCCATGGAGTTGAAGGCTGTAGTGAGCTATGATCCACTGTACTCCAGGCTGGACAACAGTACTGATCGGATCACCTTCCCTCTTCTTTCTTCATCAAGCCCACTTGGACTTGATGTGACTTCAAGACCAATACTTTAGAAGGGCAGTTTAAGGGGAGGGTGAAACATGGCACAGCAATGGAAAGAGCTCTCAGACTTCAGTCAGAAAGAAATGAG